TAGGGCTACAGAGAAGAAAGTAATTTTATCTGTTGCTTGGTATATTCTATAGTATTGTTAAATCCATTGAACCTATAGTGTTTAGCTCTAAGGTTTCTTTGATTTTTAGTTTGGATGGCCTGCCAATCTAAAAACGAAACTAGAGCATTGAAATCACTATCACTGTGCTAGGACCCATCTGATCTTTTATGCCCACTAGTGTTTATGAAACTAGGACCACCAATATTGGATTCACACATTTTTTATAACTTCCTGATCTCCTTTATTTTATGTAATAGCCTTGTTTATCTCTTCTAATTTTTGTTTGTGTCTATTTGGCTTCATTTGGCTTCTATTTCCTTTTTTAATAGTTATTTTCCATCTTTTGACCCAGGATGTCCATTCATGTAGTATATTTCTTGAAGACAACGGTTGGATCTAGTTTAAATCATATTAGTCCGTCTATGTCTCTTGGTTGGAATTTGAGGCTGTTTACATTTAAGATTATTATTAGGAAGGGTTTACTTATTCTTCTAATTTTATTGGATGTTTTCCTGGTTGGATTATTATTTGTTCTTTACCTTTTTCTCTATAGACACGTTTCCTAATTTACTGTGTTGGACATGATAGACCCCTTGATAGTTCTCCTTTGTTTATCAGCTCCTCACATGACAGTTATCATGATGGATGCTTTCTTCCTTCTGTGTACAGGTATAAATTTGACTTTGCACTGTTCTGCTGACCAAAAGTTGCCTTAGACTCTGCTTATCTTGAAATGCCCAATTTTTCCATCACTTAAAAAAGGTGTGGTGTGCTTTCTGTTGCTATGATAAAATACTGTGACCAAACACAATTTATTTTTTATTTATTCATTTATTATGTATACAATATTCTGTCTATGTGCATGCCTGAAGAGGGCACCAGACCTCATTACAGATGGTTGTGAGCCACCATGTGGTTGCTGGGAATTGAATTCAGGACCTTTCAAAGAGCAGACAATGCTCTTAACTGCTGAGCCATCCCTCCAGCCGCCCCCCAACACAATTTAAAAGAGCTTATTTTGGCTTGTTTGGAAAGGGCTATAGTCCATCACGCCTTAAAAAGCATGGCAGGAGCAGCAGGAAGCTGACTGATCACACGTTCCTCCACATACAGGAAACAGAGAGACCAGAAGCATGAAAATTATAAACGCTCAAAGCCCATCTCCAGTGACATACTTCCTCTATCAAGTTCCCACCTCCGAAAACTTCCATAACCTCCCCAAACATCACCCCCACTATGGAATAAGTGTTCAAATGCAGGAGCTTTTATGGGGACACTTCTCACTGAAATGAGCTCATCTGGCTATAGCAATCTTGGTTGGTAGTTATTTACTTTCAGGGCTTGAAATAGATCATTCCATGTTTTCTTGGCTTTTAGGGTTGCTGACCAGTGTTGCTGTTATTCTGATGTCTTTGCCTTTGTAGGTGTGTTGGTCTTTCTCCTACACATTTTAATGTTACTTGCTTTGTTTTTTATTATCTAGACTATTGTAAAGAGGTTATTCTCTGGTAATATTTATGGTTTTCTAAATATCTCATATTTGGACGTTTATTTCTCTAGATTCGGGGGTTTTCTGCTATAACTTTAGTGAATAGATTCTCTATGTTTAATCTTTTCATCTTCCATCCTATAGATTCTTGGGTTTGGCATCTTAATTATAGTCGAGTTATGAGGTAAAATATTTCCTCCATCTTGTCCTCCATTCCCAATATTCATTTTTCTGCTTGGTTGTGTGGCAATTTCAGTTGTTTTGGCTTGGTTTTAATTTATAGAGTTTTTCATTTCTAACATTTTTGGATTTGATTTTTGTTGACTGAGGTTTCTGTCCTGCCCAGTTCCTGAACTCATTAAGTCCCAAAGAAATCACACGGGGGGGTGGGGAGGGGGCTGGAGAGATGGCTCAGAGGTAAAGAGCACTAGCTGCTCTTCCAGAGGTCCTGAGTTCAATTTCTAGCAACCACATGGTGGCTCACAACCATCTGTAATAAGATCTGGTGTCCTCTTCTGTACTGCAGGATACATGCAGGGAGAAACCTGTATACATAATAAATAAAAATCTAAAAAAAAAAATCACACAGAGGTATACATTAATTATAAACTGATTGGCCTATTAGCTCAGGCTTATTAACTCTTATAACTTATATTATACTTGTCTGTGTTAGCCAAGTGGCTTGGTACCTTTTTTCAGCAAGGCAGTCACATCTTGCTTGCTCTGTGTCTGGCTTCCTCTGTGTCTGGGTAACTGCAGACTGAAATTTCCCTCTTCTCAGAACTCTCATTCCCCTGCCTCTACTTCCTACCTGGTAGGACTGCCTATACTTCCTGCCTGGCTACTTGCCAATCAGCATTTTATTAAAATACAATTGACAGGGTATAGACCATTGTCCCACAGTGCTTTCCCCCTACCAAAAAAAACAAAAAAACAAACGAACTCTGAGTCTAATATCCTTTCTTTTTGTCCAGACCATTATCCATAACATCTTGTAACCAACACTTGAAACAAAGATAAATATCCATAATCTATTTTGGGAGGATGTGGGTGTAGTTTTCCAGGCTACTTCCTACTGATTGGGGGCAATGATAATCTTATGAGGAACTAAAGAAAATTTAAAATTATGATCAAGTCCTGACGGAGTATCCTGTTCTGGATGAAGAACTCAGACATCTGGGCCATCCGCTCCTTTCAGAAATATACCAGCCCACTTAGGCGTGGTCTCTTACGCTAAAAATGCAGCTGTAAAGCCTGCGCTGGCTCTCTTGCTGTTCCTGTTCCCCATTCATGCAGAGGACTGTGATCTAGAACAGTGATCAGTAATTCTCCACTAAATAAATAACCCTTTATTATACGTAATTCTGAACTGGTGTGGGATTATTTTGTAACTTCCGCCATCACTTCAGGATTTCAACTTCTTTACTAACCTTTTCTTCCTGTTGCTATCTTGTCTGTGTTTCTGATCTTCTCGTCTATTTTGCTGACCTTTTTCTTTATTATTACCCCTTTTCTCCTTTTCTCTCCAGAACCTGATCTTAATTCCTTGTCTTCTGAGTCGTTCTTTTTCACGAGCAACCTTCCGAAATCTTACCTGGCAGTTTACCTAATTCAGCTTTGGATTCAGTAGCTGAAACATGATCTTTTTGAAGAGCCATGGTGTCTTGTGTGTTGGTTTCTTTTTAACGTTGCTGTGACAGAAAGCTGACACGAAGCACCTTCCTGGAGGTAGGCTCATGGTTTGAGGGGATGCGAAATCATGGCAGTGGGAGCATGAAGCTGCTGGTCACGTTGTATTCAGTGTCAGAAAGATCAATGCTGGTGGTCATTAGGTCAATTTTAAGCTCTAATTTGTTTGAGAAAAAGACCATATAGCAATTGTGTGTGTGTATATATATGGGGGTAGGGCAAACCTACAATGTGTACTACACACTAAGACATCATCTTATATTTGTTTGGCTAAGTGAGTCAGAGAGAAACAGACATGAAAGAGACAACACTAGATTTGTTAAAGATCATAATGCTACGTTTATTGGTGAAAAGAAACAGGGAGAAAAGAAACTGTGAAAGGGAGAGATAGCCCTCTAGCAACACTCTTTCTCTTTGAAATAAGTTAGCAAAAAGAAAATATTATATGAAATAGATCCTTAAGAAAGATAAGGCAGTGCTCAAAAATGTATTTTTGAATATAAAAATTCAGGTATGCAATCAGTAACATTCAAAATCAACTACAGCTACACAATTATAAAAATGGTTTCATTTGTTTTAACAAAGTGTTTTAAAGTTCACTGTATTAGAACAGGTACAGTGTCCTGAAGGCATACAAACTCACCAGAGCAGTCTGGATTTGTTTTCACTGCTATGCAGTGTGTCCAGGTGGCCGAAGCCACAAGGATAAGAGTGCCTCCATCATAGGCTTCTGCATGCTCTCACTGTCGACTTCACAATAAAACTGAAAAGGATAGGCAGGGCTCAGGGGGCTATTTTTCCCCCTTTCCTTATTCAAGTTAAGCAAACACAATAGAAAAGACCAGAAAAAAGAAAGAAAGAAAGAAAGGAAGAAAGAAAGGAAGGAAGGAAGGAAGGAAGGAAGGAAGGAAGGAAGGAAGGAAGGAAGAAAGAAAGAAAGAAAGAAAGAAAGAAAGAAAGAAAGAAAGAAAGAAAGAAAGAAAACGCTGGACATTTAACAGACAAGAGCCATGTGCAAGAACCCAAACTTGAGACTTCATTTAATCTTTTTCCTAATTTTTTAACATAGGGTCTAATGTACTCCAGATCCTCCACCACCATGGCCAGTGCATGCATTTCCAGAGATTGAATCCAAGACTCCACGCATGCTAAGCAAGCACTCTATTACATGTGGTGATATTATTCTGAGTACACAGCATACATTATTGTTTGTTAGGATGCCATGGGTTGACCTCTCTCATCTTTAATAGAATTTCTATCTACTGAACTTATTTTTCTTTAGTTTCAGATCAGCCACCCTGCAGAAACTCACTATGTACCTGTCCAAGCCTAGCAGTCAGGTACCAGCTCCTGCTAGAATGGATGTCATTTTATGTCGTCAGCTTGTGTACTGAAGGCTCTGCCACTTACCGTCTGCCACACTGCAACAGAAGCCTGGCACGCTGACGTCACCCATTCATCACAGCAGGACTGGAAATACTCAAAGTGGAACTATAAACCCCACCCTGAACTGAGATCAAACAAGCTCCACTGCACATCCCCACTCACTAGACAAAAAACATGCAAGACCTCAAAACATCATAAAATTATGAATTGACAGGTACTTCAAGATCACCTCCTCAGCACCCTTTTCCTAAGCGAGTGGCCTTCCCGATACAAAGAGCTACACAGACATGTGCTTGCACTGAATTTCAGCTATGGCTCATTCACTTTTAAGAGAATGTTATTATCTATGAGGTATAGCATATACTAAACTTAGAAAAAAAAAGAACTAAAAACAAAAACTGCCACAAGGCCTAGCAAACATCTGACCTTCCTTTTTTTTCTTTAATTAGCGGGAAATAAGTTTTAGGCGTGGTTGTGAATATGAAGTGTGTGTAAGTGACTCTAACGAGAAGTTACTGGAGGAAGAGTAAACAGAGGGGTGGGCGTAAGGTGCCCACAAGAGAGGAACTCCACAGCCTAGGGTGCACCTCAGTTGCCCAATTCATTCCACCAAGTCTCATCCCGTACACTGCAACACTTGTCACCTATGGGGATAGCAAAAACGAGACCCAAACCAGCGCAGCCTCCACGTTTCAGACACTGCCCAGCTGCTAATTTTCTACTTCGCTAGGACATTAAAAAGTAATTTTTATATGGAATGCATTTCTTGATTTCATCTCTTACTCTCTTGGCCTACAGTGACTGTGTGGAAGGAAGGTGGCACTTAAGACACAAAGTCACCATGAGAGTAACACAGACACCCAGCACTGAGACAATCTCCGTGGTGAAAATGCTAAGTGGGAAATGGGATTTCCCCTTCTCCAAGACAGGATGCGTGGAGTTGGGGTCTGAGCAGCAGCCAGATAGAGGAGCAGGAGAGACAACAGCTTCCTCAGGGCTTGGTCTGTGAAAAGGGAAGCCTGTCAGCCTGTGAGAGAGACAATTCAGTGAGCAGGAATCCACCTTTACGTGTCCCCGTAGTCAGCCTGGAGCAGAGGGGTCACGGTAAGCTACTCTCCTGGTCCAGAAAGCACAATGGTTCTGAGTGCAGCACTCCACTGACCACAGCCCAGGGGAGACAGCACTCGGGCCAGAGGCGTCTCAAACCTGGAAAGCCAGCCTGACTGAGCATCACATTCCTCTCTACAAAGGTCACTCAGCAGTTCTCATCACTCCCCAAACACAGGGGTGCCCTCTCACCAGGCAATGGACTGAGGAGTGTGAAGGAGGGGAGAAGAAACAGACACTACCACCAGTCAGCGCCAGAGGCCCTCATTCTCCACTTCAGCCTCCCTTGCTAAGTTGCTTCTAATCAATGCTATTGGCTTGGTACAAGACTTAAGCAGATTTGAAATGGATTTCTTCCTTCCACAGTCCAGTAAAGGCAGGAAGGGAAACAACTAAAGGATAAGGTAACTAAAGAAGTCTGGGAGTCGGGAAGACACTGGAGGATGATCATCCAAAAGCTGCTTAAATGTGTCCAGAGTCAAGCTGCTGCGGCAAACTGACCACTAGCTGTCGAATTAGGCCCAAAAGTCTTTTATCTAAGACGCAATCTCCCACCGAGAGCCTTCTCACTGGTGCCCTGCTGGTGGGAGCAACTGAGGCAGCTACTGCTTTATGATGACGGAGGCAGTATCTCTCGCCTGGCAGTCCCTACAACCTGTCAATGAGATAATGTATGGTAGAGTCTACAGCGATTACACAGTATTAAGTATGCTAAACAGACTGCTGCCCAAGCCTTCATCCCATCAGCTTTAGGGGTCATCAGTTATTGCACAGACCCTCTGCTTGGCTCCCTACCAAGCACTTGATAGTCATCTGTCCCTGGCACTCTCCAACAATCCAGCCCGACTTGTCAGCCCACTATTTTGAAACAGGGAAATTGAGGAACCACATTAGGTAACTTCAAGGACTCAACCAGCATGTGACCGGACCACAGCTCACACCCAGAGCTGCCCACATTCACACAGTAAGCTATTCAGCCCTTCTAACATCTTTAAAAGGTACCTGGACTCAAGTCCAGTCACTTAAAAGGGCGTGAAGGGGTCAGCCTTTCCGGTACATGACTCCAGGATGGTTGGAGCTTGAAGCAACTAGCCTAGTCTCATGTCAGCTAGGCACCACGGGCACCTCTAACCTCCCCATGTCCCTTGTGACACCTAAGCCCTTCTGAGACCTGAACTGATTCCCAAGGTTCCTAGGATATGAATGTGCCTCAAAAAGCCAGAGGGTAGGATATAACTTTTTTTCCTGACTAAAGAAAGGCTGAAGACCTCACAGGTATCTTCAACAGCATGGGAAGAATCTGGAATGACTGGGCTGCCTTCTGCCCTAATAAGTCTACTATCCATTCTTCTCCATCTCAGAGGAAAAGACAGAGTTACTAGACACAGTTCAGCAACTGGCCACATGACCAAAGAGACCAGTGCTCGCTGCCTGTGGTCTGGAGGTGGCAGAGCAGAGGTCAGAGTAGATCTGGCCTTGCACAAAGAGCAAAGGGTAAACCTAGATTACCAGGAACTCTGACGATGCCTGGGAAGCACAGAGCAGCTGCAAGTAACACGGGACAGTGGCCATCCTATAGATGCAGGGGGGAAGCTTGCAAAAGTGAGATGGGGGAGCAGACAGAGCATGGCACGGGTGACATAGATGCTGAAACCGGAAAAGGTGCAGGCTAGGATGATGAAAACAAGGAAGGGTTATGAGAGATGACCAGAGCAGTGCCATCATGAAGGAGACTGGGACTCTGGCTTGACCCTGTCGCTGCTATGGCTCCAGGTGACATGGAAACCCATCTGAGATGTGGTCCTTTGACTGTACAGTGAGACAACAATCCTGCTTCCTCACATGGCTCCCATGAGGACCAGATAAGATCATCAACACAAGAACACTGTGTGTGTGGTTAGGCATCAGGCTGAGACATGACCACCTGCGGGCTGGTGTCTTTCCAGTGTCCAGCTCAGGCTTAGTGTCAATGCCGGAGCACTGAACGTCGCTTGGCAGGCATGCCTACTTCCTGCTGGGCCCACAAGGGATCTGTCTTCCCATGCACTTTCCTTGGCCCGACTCCAGCGAAGAACGGAAAATAAAACCAATAAAAGTAAACATTTATAAATAATGAAGAAAAATAAACAGAGCAGGGAACATGAAGGTTTTTCACTTTCTGGTGGCTCTTGTCCAAAAGCAAATAGTTCTTTAGGTCACTACTTCAGTGTCCCAAGATCACAAGACAAGAGACATGGGGGGGGAGGGCGGGAGAAAGAATCCACACTCAACACTAGAGAAGACATCCCATAGCCAGTTGTGATTGAACAAGACAGTGCAGTCCACAGGAAGGAAAGTGTGCCCAGGGCAGGCTCTCCAGAGTTGGAGGAAGGGCAGAAACACCAGGGACGGTACTGTGTGAGGCAGTGACAATGGTTTCCTTGGTGAGGGGCAAATCTTCAAAATTCTGCCCTTCCTGCTGAACCCCTAAAATCTCTGCTAGGCCTTCCTGCTGCCGCCTGGGAATCAGTGGTTCCTGAAGCTTATCTGCCGCTATTAAATAAAGTCTGATCTGCGAGAACTCCATCCAGAGATGCCATTCAGAGAGGAAAACGGTCATAAGGAAGAGTCCCCTACACTAGCCACAGAACCTCACACCGTGCTACAGGCACTCACTGGGGTTTAGGGTTCATGACTGCTCCCATGGGCAACCCTCAAAAATGTCCAAATTGCAAACAACACGACGCTGCAAGTGAAAGGCACGTGTCTGTGAGACAGAGTCCAGAGGGTATTTACAAGACTGTCCACCAGCTTCCGTCCGCAGCGCTCTCTGTAGACAGCCTTGCATTATGTAAGACACACAGCAAAGCACTTCTTTACAGCATCCCTAGGAAGGAAAAACACAGATGAATGGGATGTTATCACTCCAAAGGCTCCACAAAGGCAAAGACCATTCTTGAGCATTTCCCAGGGTACCATGCTGCCAAAGGAGGAAGCTGCGAGGGCAGAACCATTCACCAACTGCAGTGCCAACGTCTCTTAACAGTTTTTTCCTGGGCAAATTACTGGTCAGGCTGGAGTTTGAATTCTCTCATCTGTCAGATGGGACGTGCCCACTTACCCTGCGGACCAGCACATGCTGCTGCATTTCTACATCAGCCAATCAGAACACACTGAGATCACCAAGGGGTAGTCACGAGGGCTACAGTTCCAGGAAGCAGAAGACTGTGCAGCAACACCTTCAGGAGCTCCCTGGCACAGGGAGCTGGGTTTACTAACATCACTGAGCATTACTAACAGGCTCATTTAGTGCCTGGGATTCAGTATAGCTCCCGGAAGCAAAAAGTGGGTGCTCAACAGATAGCTTATCTGTGCAGGTAGACCTCTTCTCTTCCACCACTGCACCTGGCTGTAAGGAAGAACCCTAAGCTCTCATCCTCACCCCATTCCAGGTTGGATACTGTGTTTTTGGTGTACAGTGTTGGGGATCACATGAGGTGAGTGAATCCAACTGCCTGAGCAGGCGATGAATTTTAACATCAAAGTCATTAAGGAGCCATGCACGGGGACACACGCCTGTAATGCCAGCACTCAGGGAGCTGAGGCACAGGGACTGCAAGTATGAGGCCTGCATGGGCTACATAAGAGAATCTGTCTTTAAGGCTCTAGTGAAGACTCTGTCAAGGTCTGCTGCATACTGAAGTCCCAGGAGTACTCTGGAAGTAAAGTAAGGAGGTTTATGGCCAAAGTAAGTCCCCTCCTGCCAGGTCACACAACACACTGAGGGATCAGGAAAGCTGGGCAGAGGAGTCCACCTAATTTGTTTAACCAATTTGACAAATTCACTTGGTCTCAGAGCCTTTTCAGCTATATAATCTGCTCTGTGGACACTAGAGAAAACCATTCTAGAAGCCAGACAGAACTCACTTTGGTTCCCTCCCTGCTAAAGAAAGATGCATGTGCTCAACACAAAAACTCTTGAGTTCAAAAAGAACTGTAACGTTTCCATCACTCCCATCCTAATCAATGCTGAACCCCTGAGGAAGGACACTAAGTGAGTCCAGTTGTGTGGGTAGCTCCAACTATACGAAGCTCTGGTCATTTAAAAAGGAGGAACCCACATTATCATTTTGTCATTTAAAAAGGTGGAACCCAGTAAATTATTTAGGTACTTTAGGGACCTACGAGATATGGCCAAACTATTGCCAAACAGATAAATACTTCATTAGATGCTCAGATGTAGCAGACCTTGGCTTATTTCAAATAGCAAGCCAGCTCCTGGGAAAACCCTGCCCATATTCCTCTGAGAATACGTTCCTCCCAGCCTCAAAGGCAGTATTTCACAACTGCTATGTCCCTGTTACATTCCTGTGCACACAGGGACGCTTTATGGGCTTGTTAGCGTGCTCCTCAGCACATTCAGAACACTGTTAGCAGCAGATCTGGAATGCGGAAGACATAGCATCCCCCCTCTTTCCTAGTCCCTGTAATTTTTCATTTTCTCAGAACAATTACGGAAAATATTTTTATTTAGTAGATGACTGAGAAGAATAAAATTAAGTGGCTTCATTAGAATGGAATCAGAGGCTATTGATTCCTATGACTAAATGAGAAAAGTCCACCATCAAAAATGGTTAATTAACAAACACCCAGCCTCTGGGGACGAACCAGTCCCACCCACCCCAATTATCAATGTCTCATCTGAGGTCTTGGTGGTCAATAAAGTCACCAAGGTCACTCTGCTAAATAGGAGGCGCTGGTCCTCTAGAGTCCTAGCCCTGCTTTCCCTCTAGACTCTGAAACCTTTCCTGAGTGAGCCCCTGTAAGAAAACAAGCACTGAGGACCCCAAGGCTCTTGTTTAGTTCCACTAAATTAATCACGTTTCAAATTACCACCTCAAAGCTACAGATTAAAGGCATATTAATATGCATCAGGTCACTTTCTCTGAGTAGAGTGCCCCAAACACCAGGAACTCATAGCCTGGCCAGCACATCGCTAGTTGAATAATGAGATCAGGAGAACCACGGCCTTTTATCATAGTAATCTATCAAGTAGATGCATGCCCTGTGCCTATCTGGCTCAAAGAAGTTTAGTACAGATAAAGAAAATAGCATGTACTTTCTGCAACTAAACTAAAATCTCCAAAGTGAAGTCCATATGCAGGAACTGAAAAGATAGTTCAGCAATTAAGAGCATTTGCTGCTCTTCTAGAGGACCCAGGTTCAATTCCCAACACCTACATGGCAGCTAACAACCATCTATTAATTCCATTTCCAGGGGATTCAACAGCCTCTTCTAAGTTCCACAGGAAATGCACACATGGTACATAAATATACATGCAGGCAAAATACACATTAAAATAAAAATAAATCTTTAAAAAAAATTAGAAGTCCTCCTATGTAAACACATCGTGGGTCACAAATCAAAGAATCCCTATTTCCAAATACAAAGTTAGTCTTACCTTGCATATGGTATGAAGGAAAGGCTATACCTACAAAGAAAAGCAAAGATTAAATTGAATGGAGGGAGCAGAAAACTCCCCAGCAGAAAGCTCCTGAAGCTCTAAGAGCACCCAGTGATTTCTACTGGCCTGTATGCGTTCACACATCACATAAACACTCTGCCATGGAAGTAGCCTTGTAGCAGAGAATGGTGCAAAAGGCCCATATAACAATAACCCCCCTGACCCCGGCCTTGCTTTTGGTACTGCTTAACCACATGAGCCAGTAGTGATCACTTAAAAAAGACAGATTCCTGATGCTCATATGGCATCAGAGTCCTATTTTCAGAAACTGCAAATGAAATCCTCACCAGTTGTGATCTAATGCTTTGTAAGTTCGCAAAAGAATTTATTTAACTTCCATCCCGGTGGGGTCAATGTTCTATCTGCTCCACTAATTAAAAAAAAAAAAGTCACTGCCTACCATTCTATACCTGGTACAATACTTCAAGAACCCAAGCCACACTGTCTGTAAGAAAACCATGCAGGGGAGAGACACTGTGTGTAAGTTGGTCAGACTTAAGATTCAGTTCAAAGGAAATCACCATTTTCCAGGGCCCAGAGGAAGGCTTACTCCTCGGAACTGGCTTGCAAAAGAACGGTGTATTTGTAGGTACCAATTTCTGCACCCAGAAGAAAGCCAGAGCAGAAACACAAGCCATCAAGTCAGGCCCTTGTAGTGTCTACTAGAAAAACGTGTCTCCTATTAAAACCAGGCCACATTCTTTCCCATTCCTCCCACTTTCCATGTGCACACACTTAACTTGTGAACACGGTAAAGTCTGAAAGGCAGTTTGACAAGAGTATTTTTTCAGAAGGTCAAAGTTCCAAAAGGAAGATAGGCTCAAGCTTACATTCCCAAGATCCATTTCTACTAACTAGGTGCTCACCAGCCAGGAGTTTATTTAAAACGCCCACAGCCTCGCTTTTCTCTGTAGCCTAGCAGACATTTTTATCCCCAATAGCAGAGTCACACTGACTGGAACTATTCTGCCGGACATCTTTACTCATGGATTAGACTTTCAAAGGAACACAGAAATGCCTCGGATGAGATACATGCCACCACACATCTCCCTTGGATGTTATACAGAGTTTAAACAACCAACAACCTACAGCTGCATTTATGATTTTAAAAAGTCATGTCTTGGGCTGGAGAGATGGCTCAGAGGTTAAAAGCACTGGCTGCTCTTCCAGAGGTCCTGAGTTCAATTCCAGCAACCACCATGGTGGCTCCCAAACACTTGTAATGAGATTTGGTGCCCTCTTCTGGTCTGCAGGGATACATTCAGGTAGAACACTATATACATAATAAATTAGTTGTTTTTTTAAAAAAGCCATGTCTCTGGTCACCTTTTTACTACACTTGGCCTCTGGGTTGCAATTTCCTAATCTTCACCTAAAATGTCTCAAAGCCAGCCCACGTCCAGTGAGGATGCCAACCCCACATCCACACAGACTTTCATTTCCCCAGCTACCGCTCCCTCAGCTCAGCTGACAATGCCCTCGCTGGCCCTCTACAGAACGGTCATTCCATCACAATCACCGATTTTCCCAGCAGCACCCTTCTCTACCTGACTCCTGGCCTTTTTTTACCAGCCTTTATAATAACTGCGCTGTCCTCACGCTTTCCGGACGTGAGGAGCTGAGTAATAGTTGTGTATCTCACAACCGGCCGTGAGCTCAGCAAAAATGCTGTGGTCTGAGGCCTCTGAGGCCACTCAAGACCGTTAATGCAGTCTACTGGCGGTGGGCCGAGTCACCTGGCTGCCTTCTGAAGCCTGACTTCTGCTGCATTACTGACGACTCTTCAACTCAAGAGCTTCTCCACAACACACGGGTTTTCTCTCCTTTCCCACCACAAGTCAAAGACAGGGCTGGGGTGGGGGAGGGACACTGGTGTTACTCACCATGTTAAGGCCAAAGACTGCAAAATGCAGAAGATGAGCGCTAGAGCCTTTTTATGCCACTAAAAAAAAAAAAAAACACAGTTACTGGAAAGTGTGTGACAAGGATATAAACCAAAAAGGTCATAGAAGACTGAAGCTCACACTTACCCAAAAGGCAGAACACAGGGTAAGTGCAAAACACAACTAGAAGAGAAAACACTAATTAATACAATGTGGTTCAAAGCATTTAGCCCATCCGAACAACCGTGTCTGTGCCGGGAAAAGAGATCCAACTCTACAATAAAAACGCATGCAGACTGGAAAAGGCAGGCTGTGTTTCCACTCTTAGATTCTCCCTAAATGTCTGCAAAGGAAAGCACACTCTGGATCAGTCATTCACTTGCCAATCTTCTCATTTAAGACACAAGAGGAAGCTGGCCACAACCTCTCTCGGTAACCTCACCTCTAGAGTAGGAAAGGCGTGTGAGAACAGAGGTCAAGAGCTGTCGGCTGCACAGTCAGGAAGCTGTGATCTGTTCACCTGTCACCTGACACTGCCCCGCGTCCTTTCCTGGAAAGTCTTTCCACCAGAGTTGCCAGGCCATCTATACCTGGAGCTGGAAACAAGCCACTGCTTGCTCCGGTCCCTACCATACCACTCACCGCACTGCTCTCTAGTTCCTTACTCAGTGTGCCCGGAACTCTCTGTCCAGCACTGCGCTCTCAAAGGACACAGATAAATAGCAAACACAGCCATGGCCTTAGAAAACATTCTTGTGTGAATGAATGAGAGACCCACAAACTAAATGAAAATTAAAAGCATGCCAATCAAGTACAAATCTCATTGATTATGCTTGGAATCTAGAGAATGGGGTCTGGAAAGATTTTGACAGATACATGGATAACTAGGTCAAAAAAGAGATATTCTGGTTTGATGGGATAGAAATAAAATCTTCCAAGTCAGGCAGAGGTGGTGCATGCCTTCAATCTCAGCACTTGGAAGGCAGAGGCAAGTGGATCTCTGAGTTCAAGGTCAGCCTGGTCTAGAGTGAGTTCCAGGACAGCCAGGAATATAGGGGGTGGAGGAGAAAGAAAACCCTCCAGTCGTATAGTGAAGCAAACAGGTAGTGGGTTCGAGGCTAGCCTGAACAACTTAGAAAGCCCTGTACGTGTAAGACCATGTTTAATTCCCAGGATTAAGAAGGAAAAGAAAAGACAGGTCCCCACCTATAAAGCCTGTGGGGAAAGCAGTCTGCCCTTACCAGCACCAGGATTGTGGCAATCAGACGCGTAGGCTCAAACATGCGCTTCAGCTGCTTCAATGGCCCCATGAGGAAGATGGTACTAAGAGACAAACACACACAAGCCATTTAGGTCAGAACAGAGGCACACCAGCCACCTCCCCAAGAGCTCCTGCGGCAATGACTTGCAGGTCTTTTGTGCACTGCCCTCATTTAGTCCAACAAGGACCTATGAAGTAGAGACAATTAGTGCACTTGTTTTAGACAGGAAGATTACATAACCAAGGTCACCCGACTAATATAAGAGCAGGACCAATACCATTCTCTCTCTCTGTGAGGGGCCACACTGCTTCCTTGACTATATACCCACAGGAACAAACCAAGGGCCCAGGTTTAAGAAACACAAAGCCACTTACAGGTTTAGAATGCTTACATTCGAAAACAGAACACTTCTCTTCTTTCACACTCTCCAGGAATTTTAATGATGATAAAAGTAACATCTACTACAGTTGAGTGCTTGCTAAATTTCAGGTGTTCACACAGTACTCATTTCAGTCCCTCAACTACTTTAGATGGGTGTTACTGTTCCCATTTCAGACACATGGAAGTGAGAGGTTAGCTAACCAATCTGCGATCACATAGCGGGGGAATCCAAAAAGCTTGTGTTTAACCCACATCTATTCTAAAAGCACCCTTTGCATGAATTTGTATGAAGGAAACCCGAGAGGCAGCTAACGGGAGTGATCACAGGGAGGCAGAAACACACATCTAACACATCACGGACAGGTACCCTCTTTGAAGTTAAGCTGTTTTCTGAGCTCAGAGACTCTTTACCAAACAGACTAAGCAGCAGATTCAAGGCACGCATGTATAACTAGATTCTGTGTAAAGTCAGAAACTCCTTGTAAAACGCAGAAACAACAATGCAGCCCTCCCTGTTTCCCTCTGTGTGCTATGGCGCCTGTCCCATTAAGAACTGCTAGAGGTTCTTCCGGAGTAAACAATGTACCTATATAATTATGCTCAGGCTGTACATTTACCCCACACTGTGGACCCAAAGCAAACCCACAAAAGCTAGTGTCTGAGAAAGCTTCAAGGGCAGCATCAGTCACCACTACCTGTGCTGTCACGGAAATATAAACACCATGGAAGGAGCCCTGGAGGAGGAGGTCACCAGTTCCAGGAAGGAGGTGGTAATCGGCAGAGCTTCCACAAGAGGTGACATTAGAGGCAGGACTTAACAAATAAGCAAGTTGGGAAATGAGAAATGACAAAGGGGGAGCAGAGAGATGGGCAGGACTGCAGACAAGGAAAACAGCCAGGAAAGAAGCACAGAGATGCCGAGAGATGTTCAGAAGCACCAAGTTAGGACGCCACTGCAGAGGAGGCAGAGAGCTGCATGGGGGACTCTACACAGGTCCCAGAACTCAGAGGAAAAGAGCCTGGAGAGAGGTACACAGGAGGGGAGTATGACAGAGCAGCTGAGGGAAGGAGGAGATGGACGAAGCTCAGAAGAGCCCAGGTACCACCTTTGCTAGGAAACTGTCCCTGACCCGCTGTCAAACCAGCCCTCTCGGAGCTTTCCTTCACATTACCATCTATGTCACTGGCTTGTGTCTCACTGCCTCACTGGTGAGCAAATTCTAATGTGGCAGTGCTTACCAAGTGAGTCCAAAGTAAATCAGCAGGGCCAAACGGCCACAGGAATAAGAAAGAAAGCTAAGTAAGAAAGAGAACAGTGGGCTAGGAAGATGGTGCAGTGGTTAAGAGCACTGGCTTGTAATGGAGACCTTTTGGAGGCTCTTGTCTTAGGGCACCATTTCATAAACAGAGGCTGCTCGTTAGTTTCCCAGCCACCCAGACCCAAATAACCACACACAAGCTATATTAATTACAACATTGTTTGGCCTATTAGCTCAGGCTTCTTATTAACTAACTCTTACATCTTAAATTAACTCATTTCTATTATTTTATATTTTACCAAGAGGTTTATGGTTTGTTACCTCTTGCTTCTTGGGCAGTTACATGGTGTCTGCCTCCTTCGGCAGCTACATGATGTCTCCTCGACTCTGCCTACTCTCTCTATATATCTCTGTTCAGATTTCCCACCTGGCTTTACTCTGCTAAGCCATTGGCCAAAACAGCTTTATTCATAAACCAATAAAAGCAACATATACACAGAAGGACATCCCACATCACTGCCTGCTCTAGCAGAGGACCAAGGTTCAATTACCAGCATCCACACGGTGGCTCACAACTGTTATCTAAATCCAGTTCCAGAGGATCTGATGCCCTCTTCTGACCTCTACAGTGCTGTGGGATAATGATTTTGTACACTGTAAAGAGTTGTCACTTGTATTGGTTTAATAAAATGCTGACTGGCCAGTAGCAAGGCAGGAAATATAGTTGGCACAAACAGACTAAGAGAATTCTGGGAAGAGGAAAGGCAGAGAGTCAGTCTCAGCCAGATGCAGAGGAAGCAAGATGAGAATGATGTACTGAGAAAAGGTACTAAGTCACATGGCTAAACATAGACAAGAATTATGGGTTATTTTAAGTTGTAAGAGCTAATTAATAATAAGCCTGAGCTAATGGGCCAAACAGTTTATAGTTAATATAAGCCTATGTGTGTTTCTTTGGGAATGAATGGCTGTGGGACCGGGCAGGATAGAAACTTCTATTTACACCTCAGGCACCAGTTACATATGTGGCAAACAGATATACAGGCAGGCAAAACATTCATAAACAAAAAAATATAAATTAAAATATTAAAAAAAAGAAAAAGAAAGATGGGGCTGGAGATAAGGCTCCGAGGTTAAGAACACTGGCTATTCTCCCAGGGGTCCTGAGTTCAATTCTCAGCAATCACAAGTGGCTCACAACCATCTATAGTGAGATTTGGTGCTCTCTTCTGGCCTGCAGGCATACATGTCAGAACACTATATACATAATCAATAAATAAATGTGCTTTTTTAAAAGAAAAGAAAAAAAGACAACAACAATTGAATTATTATGGTTAAGTTACATAGGGAAACTTGGCCTCCTGGAGCCCTTTCCCCACAGGACTCTGAAGCCATGTATAGAAACATGGGGAGGGAGAGGGTAAGGGAAGGAAAGACTGCCCAGTTAGGTTCCTGAGGTTCATTCTAACAGGGCCAGGCCAACATTTCCCACCAGAGGCAGGCCTGGCATTGTCTGCACAGGTGTAGCTGAAGCACCCAAGTGAAGGAGGTCAGCTGGGGGTGTCTGTGCACTTGACGTAGGCAGAATGGCTGACCTCCCCTGGGAAGTACCCATCAGATGCCCTGACACAGGAGCCTGAGCCTCAAGCCCAGGACGGTCTGGCCCTACATAATAACCAGTTCCCAGTCTCACAGTCACTCGCCTGCCTGGTGGCTTCTAGAAGCAGCAGCTGCACCCAGTCTCTGAGGGCAGGGAAACCAACACAGGGAGGGTTGGCCATACCGTGTACCTGGGGACATCTGAACAAGTGGTCACATACTTCCTGCTTTCTCCCAGGGGTGAAAGGTAAACTAAGATACAGGATGTTTTGAAATAAGGGGATATGAATGTCTCTCCTCCTTCTTTCCAACTCCTTAAAGATATGAAGCATTTCATCTTCTCCCTCCCTCAAACACAATGGATATTTTATCATCCAATAAATAGCAAGGTTGGAAAAAGGAGAAAAGAGAAAGGTTACCTCCCAATTGATGCCATGTTACCCAGGGTGTAAAACACCGCAAAGAGGCTCAGTCCTTTCTTGGGCACCCACAGCAGAAAAGTACCCTAGAGGGGAAGAACAGGACACGTGTATGTAAGCACAGCAATGCCACTCCCACCAGAGGCTCACAGTTGCCCTCCTTGCCTCCTACCGCCCTCACCCCTGCTTTATTCATTCAATTTAATGAAGCATCAAAGAGAAAAGTGGGCAAAAGGAAAAGAATAAAGCAGAGAATTAGGAAAAGGCAGTAGATGGAAGAAAATCTTACCAGCAGTGAGCAGAGGATTCCTATGGCAAAACATGCGATGAAGCCTTTTATTCTGGTGCCCCAGCTTAGCGATGAGGCCTCCACAACCTGCAGTTTCAAAACAACAATTACATACACACACGCACATTTAGTGAAAACAAAGAAAACTCACAATTAATTCAGAAATGGTCTTAAAGGCCAAGAGAAATGGTATTTAGAACTGGCAAGATGGCTCAGCAGGTAAAGGGACTGGAAGTGCAAACCTGATGACTTAAATTCCGTCACCGCAAACCACATAAAGGAAGCAGGAGAGGAGTCCTGCAGACTGACCCTGGCTTCCACACGAGGGCTGCCCACCTGCATTTATACACATACATAATAAATAAATTAGGAAGGAGGGAGGGAGGGAGGAAGAGAGGGAGGGCAAGAGGAAGCAAAAAGGAAGGAAAAAAGAAAGCGAGGGAAAAAGGAAGGGAGGGAGGGAAGGAAGGAGGGCCTGGGTCATGGGAGCAGACGAGGGTCAGACACTCAGGCCGTCTGGCCCACTGGCCATGCTTTCCCATCTCTCCTATCAAGTGCAGAAGTTGCCGCAACATTCCTGGCACCTCAGAGGAAGAAGGCCCCTCATATTTACCAGGACACACCCCTTCTACTTATTCTTACTGACATCATGCCAGCCAAATCAGTCACAGTTAGCCAGATCCCAGCTAATTAATCACTATCCGTTCATCCTGACTCTCTACCACTGTCGGCTAACCCAAGGGGAGGCAAACTCCCCTGGGAAAGCACTGAAGCAGAAGAGCTGGAGAGCGGACCTCAACGGCCTTTCCCACGCCAAAGATGACAAGTCGCTGTGCCACGGGCCTTTCCAGGCTGTCCTTAAGATGCGGGAGGGCTCACTGCCCACAGATGGACACAGGAAGCTGCCACTGAAAGATCAAACCCAATCAGCACAGCCAGGTCTGCATTTACACACCCAGCCTCCTCTTATATAGGCAGCTCAACCTCACAAAGCAAGAAAGACCGCCTACTCCACTGCCACCCAAACTGATGGAGGAAGGCAAGTGAGCAGGACCACTCCTTTGGCCCTAACTGGCCCTGGCTCAGTGACCTGTTTCCAACCTGTCAAACCAGAAGCTGGAAGAGAAGACCAAGAGGCTCCCAAGGTATAACAAGTACTATCCGGAAAGGTTTAACCTCCACCTGGAAGAAGATATTTAGGTCACCGAACAAAAGGCTCTCTCCCCACTTCCATAGAGTCTCCGTGACACCGCAACACCACACATAGGAACACGCTGAGCACCTGCAGGAACCTGGCACATTTAGGGATGGGTTGGGCTAGGAGCAATGGTACAGTCCTACCATAAGCAAGAAATTTGGGTTCCATCTCTAGCACCTCAAAAAGGTGCTTGCAGCAGAATTTCTAACTACATTCCAGATATTTGCTCTTACACCCACAGATAAGTGCAGTCCTTGACCCTCATCAAGGAAACCATTACAGAAAACCATGCCAATCAAAACGCAGAATGGAGGAGGCCCGTACCAACTGACACATCTAAGACTCAGGGCTCACTGCGGACGAGGGGGCAGAGAACAGGGAGTCTGCTGTAAGATTATGTCTCCCAGAAAAGTCAGAAGCTACACCCTTGAAGTCTCACTAACACAGCTGCCTAAACATGACCTGAACAAGAACACGCCAACAGACCTGCTAATGTGGAAGGGGGAAACCTAAGGTGTGGAGGGCCGGACCACATTCTCCATTGCTTCTAGGAACAAAGGTAGAGATTGACCTCTGTGACCCCAAGGTGTGGCAGTACACGCCTTTAGTCCTGATGCCTGGGCGGCAGAGGCAAGCAGATCTCTGTGAGTTCAAGGTGATGTAGCACACGCCTTTAATCCCAGCGCACGTGCTTGGTAACTCTCTACCGCTGCGTCCCTGCCTACTCCCGAGGCATCATCTGGGATAATGGGCAGTGAACCAATCAAAGAGTGACACGTCCAAAGCAGGGTCTGTTTCCTATATAAGGGATGGGTTCCATCTTATCTGGGTCTCCGCCATGTTGGCTGATGCCCGCTCTCCCAAGGGGCATTAAAGCTTTACTGCAGAAGTATCCTATGTGTACCGCGTGGTTCTTGCTGGCGAGACGGTAGCGCGGGACATCTGGTGCTGATACCCGGGAAAAAGAAGAACTTTGCACCGCCGGAGACCCCTTGGACACAAGGAGGATTCAGAACTGCAGGCATGCAAGCTTAGAAAGGTACGCTCTAAAGTCCAGAGAGCATATCAGAAACTGAGCAGCAGTGGGAGGTTGTGCGCGCACCCAAATAAGTTAAAAAGGACCCTCCGGTAAAGAATGGGGGAGACAAAAAAAAAAATAAAATAAGTTAAAAAGGACCCCCCGTGATTTTAAAAAAAGTAAAAATGGGGGAGAAGGCTGATTTACAAGGTCAAAAGCTTTATGTTATGTTATATGTGTTGTCTTTTGTGTACTGGATAGGAGAAAGATATTTAAACTTAGAAACTGCTAAGGATATGATGTCTTGGGAAAGAGGTTCTGTTTTCGTCTCCACAGAAAAGGAGAGCCTAAGGGTGTACTTGGGATTTATGTGGTTTGAATCACCGAGACCTCCTGAAATGTTGTAGTGTATACCCCTAAGAATGCAACGGCCCAATAACAGCAGGAAGCAGCCAGAGACTAACGACGCCCAAATTCCCTAAAAGATTAAATGAGGTCCTTGCAGAGCAGCAAGCCTGCTTCTCTGAGTTCCGCTTTGCTCCGTACACCGGTTTGGGCTCGGAATGGGTGCAGCTGGGGCTGGAGGGCGGCTGGAGCGGAGCTTTGCTCTGTGGCTATGGTGGGGAGCACGGTTGCGCCGGCTCAATTGGTGCGGCTTGGTTGGTGCCTGGCCTGGAGGATGTCACAGCGGCGCCACAGGCAGCCGGGCCAGAAGGCTTACAATGTACCTAAAACTGTGCGGGTCTCTGAGGGTAAAATGGCTCTGATTCCATTTGGCTATGCTAAACGATGCTAACTTCAGGCAGGGCTGGTCGTATTTATCATAATAAAAGCGCAATTAAGGTTTAAATGCAGTAAACAGGCAGTACCGTATTACATCTACATAGTGTGACTTAAGTTTTTAAGAACTGCTTAGCATTTTAAGAACTCAAGTCCTCCTAAAAGATTGCTGTGTATATGCTTGGCTTGTCTGGTGTTTCAGGATCCGCAGGGAGATGGATGCGAAGGGCCCTTGGATTTTGGGGTGATTGGGTCGTTGGCTGGATCTGTGAGAGTTTACAGTCGCTTTTGCTGTGGCACAGGTGTTGAGAGTTGGCTAGTAGGGAAGCGGCCCTGTTCGCCGCCTCTCCCATTGGCCCCTTGAGCCGCAGGCTCTGGCGCGGACCTTGAGTTATTGCCGGCCTGTGCAGCCTTGGTCTGGGTGTCGGCTCCCGCCACACTCCACAACCAACACAGCCTCAGACCTCAGAGAACGAGGCTAGCCCCGCGGGGAAGGCAGGGGCGCCTGGGGGTGGAGCCGCCACTTCCTGGCCTGGGACACTGGGATCCGCACAGCGAGCAGGCCCAGGGCCGCACACAGCCCTTGGATGACGGGCGGGCTCTGGAGCCCGAGGCCACCGTACCAGCAAGAAATACGGGAGCCAATAAATCTTAAATCTAATATCAACAAACAGGGCCTGGGTTTTTCCTAGGCGCCACTGGGGCAACACGGCCCATACCGTAAAAAACAGAGATCCCCATATGGGTTCCCCAATGGCCACGTCATCTTAGGACTCCAGGCTGGAAACAGGAAAACGGTTTTCTCATATTTTTAAAACAATAATCTCATCTGTGCTGGCAGATTTAAAATGGTTTAATTCTAAGGCCTACTATAATGACACAGACAAACAAGATTGCTCTTTAGAACAGAGACCTATAGGTCTCTAAGTTCAAGACCAGCCTACTTCCAGTACTGACTGTGCTAAATTTTTACACTGAGTTTTTTAATACTCTTAAATGTTATTTTGGGAGAAGAGTTTGTTTGTTTTTTTCTAGAAATGCTACTATTCATGCTGTGGATTCATCTGTCCAGAGGCCTGAGGACAAAGCCTCTGCTATGGAGCTGTCTGGCCTGATTGCTGCGGAGCTGGCGGGTTCCTGAGGGATGGTCCAGCTCCTGCCCTTGGTCTGTCAGTTATTGCTGTGTTGTTGTTGTACATTGCAATGTTGTTGTTGCTGTGCCATTGCTATGCTGCTGGATTTCCCCTTGTTTTGTCAGTTATTGCTTGCTATCAGTTTCCCTTATCCTGTCAGTTATTTCTGCTAAACACTATGGGTATCTTCAAGATAGGTTACAAAATGCCATGGTTATTTAAATTAAAAATTGGATAAATATCTATTTAAACAAAAAGGGGGGGAATAATAAAGGAACTGCCCCCGATGCCAAGAATGGCCATCGCCATGGCTCTGTTCACCATAAATTTTTTAAATCTGGATGATAATGGCCAAAATGCTGCAACACGACATTGTTCGGATCCGCAGCGGCCCAAAGATTTGGTTAAGTGGAAAGATGTGCTTTCTAATGAATGGAAAGGCCCGGATCCCATCTTATTGAGATCCAGGGGAGCTGTTTGTGTCTTCCCACAGGATCAAGAAAGCCCATTCTGGCTGCTAGAGCGATTGACCCGAACAGTGAAGAGTGATCCACAACACACGGATTCGCCTGAGGACCTGGCTGCTGTTCCTCCTGCCATTTTGCAGATGGATGACAGAGCACCGATGGAGGACACTCTCAGCTTTCCCGAAGCTGTTACCAGTCAGCCATAGGATGGCGGTGTTTCCTCGACTTTTTACAACCAATATGACTCTGGGGCCCCTCATACCATCCTAGAGATGACTTATAAGCCTGGCCGTAGGACTCCAGTCCTGGGCCGTATCCCTCATTCCCCTACTTCAAAGAATGGGTGGGGGTGGAAATGTTTTGGAACAGTCCTATGCTATGGATTAGTGTTTCTCCTCTGGATGGTCTGCTGACTCAAATCCCAAAATCGTAGGGACAAAGTGGTTATTGCACAAGCGTTGGCAGCCCTGGAACAGGGGCCTCTACTGATGTGTAGTTATTTATGTTAAAGCAGTAAGGTTTAAGCCAACCAGCTCCTGCACCCCTAGGACTGTGGTCCATTGCACAGGGTGGAGTGCTTGGCTTAGCTAGCCCTGAAGGTTGTCGAGCTGAAGAGCATCGCACAGAGAATGGCCCTCTCTGAGAGATAAGTCGCTCTGCTTAAGGGTTTCCTGCCGTATATTCCCTTTCCCAGAAAATTGGCAGAGGGCAGGCCGGATAGGTTCCAGGTGTCATGAGCCTAGGGACAGATTCCGTGTAAGCCCATTTTATGTTTTCATTTTGGGAAGTGCGACCTCTATCTTTACCTTCCTAGGGAGTTGCCTTTCTGCAAAGAAGTAAAAAAAGGGGGATATGTGGAGGGCCGGACCACATTCTCCATTGCTTCTAGGAACAAAGGTAGAGATTGACCTCTGTGACCCCAAGGTGTGGCAGTACACGCCTTTAGTCCTGATGCCTGGGCGGCAGAGGCAAGCAGATCTCTGTGAGTTCAAGGTGATGTAGCACACGCCTTTAATCCCAGCGCACGTGCTTGGTAACTCTCTACCGCTGCGTCCCTGCCTACTCCCGAGGCATCATCTGGGATAATGGGCAGTGAACCAATCAAAGAGTGACACGTCCAAAGCAGGGTCTGTTTCCTATATAAGGGATGGGTTCCATCTTATCTGGGTCTCCGCCATGTTGGCTGATGCCCGCTCTCCCAAGGGGCATTAAAGCTTTACTGCAGAAGTATCCTATGTGTACCGCGTGGTTCTTGCTGGCGAGACGGTAGCGCGGGACACTAAGGAGCTTCAACAGTAGGCAGCTAGAGGCCTAAGGCAACTAAGGCAACTAAGGCATGCTGGGAGTGGGAGAACTGATTATCCAATACCAAATGGTCAGCCCTGAAAACGTATATATACAAGTAACATTATACAGGCTGAGCAGGTGGTATTTATGTATTTGTATTTATGTATTTAGTAAGACACACACACAACAATAACAACAAAACAACAGCAGCAGCAACAACAACAACAAAAGAAAAAGGCCATGAATTAGAAAGTGAACAGGGGTAATATATAGGAGGGTTTGGAGAGAGGAAAGGGAAGGGGGAAATAATGCAATTGTAATCTCTCCACATATATGTGTGTGCACATTCATTCCTTACACTTAACATATATAATTCATTATATATATATATATTAAAGAGAAGAAGGGCATGCACCACAATGTTAGGACCTGACAACTGAGCCCTGTGTTTCCAAGCAGAGGCTACTTGTCCACCTTGAAGAGTTTGTTTCAGCTCCCCCGGCTCTAAAGTAACCATAGGATGTTGTTGCCAGACTTCAACAGGTCCTAGACAATCAAGTTAGACCTCTTCTAACCCGTGCAATGTCCTACCAAGAGCAAAAGAAAATGAACAGCTCCCACTCTTCCAACCATGCATGGGCCTTGCCAAGGTGGAAACAAGCAAGTCATGAGAAGGAAAAGGGGGGCCGAGCAGCGAGGAAATTACTGAGTGTCACGGCACCAACAGCCGTGCCCAGAAAGGCCAACCTTGTTCTGTTTAGGTGGAGAAACTGTAAAGTATCAAAGCTGAACTAGTCTTGACATTCAGAACATTCCAGAGACAGAGTAAGACAGTGAGACTCATGCCTTTATAGACAGTAAAATCACTGGCAAGAGATAGTCATCCTCGTTAGCAGAGGAGTGAGCATCCCCGCCTGTCATGTGGGGAGGCTGGGTTTGTTCCCCACAGACTGGGAGACTAGCACTAGTTATTTAGGTGAGCAGTGTTGGTGGCAAACAATCCCAGCAATCGGGAGACAGAGACAGACAGATGTCTCAGTTTGAGGCCAGCCTGCTCTACAGAGCAAGTTTCGGGACAGTCAGGGATACATAGAGAATACATAGAGACACCCTATCTCAAAAAAAAAGAAAGAAAGAAAGAAAAAAATGAAATCACTGGCCATAGAAAGCATTTCTGCCCAAAAGCATGATTGTGCTTTTTTACCCTCAGATACAAGAGTGACGCTATGTTCAAGAAATGTCTCAGGATGAACCCATCTAAATGCTACCTTTTCTTTAGCAGGGAGCAGAGATAATTCATCGCCATGCTTTCCGCTGTAAGTGTGCTCTGACACTTGGTCAGGGAAAGAGGAGGAAGCTTTGGTTCCACTTCTTCTAAATGGATCTGGTGAAAGGAAAGACTTTTTGTCAATTCATGAAAGCAGATTCAGTTGACGGAAAATCTCTCTCTAGGCTGTAGTTTCCAAACTCTGCTAGTAGAGTTTTTTCCAAAACCAACACAGCTAAAACAGTACCTGGATAGACCCTGAAGGGAATGCGGGGAACCACAAGCTGTGTCTGGCAGTCATGCACAAAGGGCCCTTTGACTACAGAATGGAGAAGGCAGAGGGATTCTTGCCAAGTGCCATCGTTAAAGGATTGTCCAGGGAGGTGAGACTGGCACCCGGAGGTGAGAATGGAACGCTGCTGTATTCCTGCACATTATGATCAGACACCCTTAGACCTTCCTGGTCCCAAGAACCCTTTCCAGAACACACAAAGTCTATGCTTTCAGGAAGGGCTCCACTGAAACCAGGACTTGAGAGTGTTTATGATGACAGGGTATCAGTTAGAAGACTTATCATAGGCAGCTGTGACTAAGAGACCTGCCAACTTTACACCTACCTGGGAAGGACAGAAGAAACAAGACATACTTTTATAGTTGGCATTCAAGTATAAAATGTTTTCTAAATTTTCTGGCAACCTCTGCAGGCTATATAACTAAAGAGACTTGAAGCTAGCTCATCCAGCTAACCACACAAACAGAAATTTTGCCACAGAATCCTCCAGTTTTTCCAAGCTCAAAACCATGGAAAGTGTAACCACATTAGTTAGTACTTAACAAGAGGCGGGGCCTAGTAAGTGATTACCAAGCCGGAACATCCCTGACAACAAACCCTACTGGCTACAGAAAGTCCCTGGAGTTTGAGACACAATGACGCACACCAACAGGAATCTTAGCAGGAAAGGGGAAACTGGCAATGTTTTCAAACAAGAGCAAAGCCCACAGTCTCTTAAAAACAGATGGAATACAGGGTGATCTTAAGAGGAGGTTAAAGCCCTTCACTGTCTGCACACAAGCATTCACCATTTGGGGGTAGCAGGGCAGGGTTGGGGGCAGACTTTGTTTTCAAATGGTACTACCCTAGTCATGCCTGGAGACCCACCCACTGCTACAGAGGAACAGCACCTCAAGGCCAACAGAGTCTCCTAGAGTCTCCCCTTCAGCCCCAACTTTGTAAAACAGCTTGTTGACGTCTATGGAGCTGATTTTTACATGACCATGTGGGTCGACTAAGTCTCGGGGCTTCCTTAGGCTTCAACATATAAAAGTTCACAAGAGGCCAGAAATTTAAAAATTAAAATAAAAAAAACATAAAAATTACTCGTTCTAATTCTAATGATTGTGGAGAGGCTGGAAAGTTGCATGTCTGGAGTAAAACAGCAACTAACCTCGGGCTGTCATATCCTGCCCACCTGTTATTAATTAACACAACCCACGCTTCCACAAACCAAGGGTTTTAGAGCCCCATCAGACAGCCTAGAGAGGACCTGCAGCTGAGGTTCCTCCTCACTGCTCTAACCACCTACTTCGTGTTTCCACGGATCCATTTAGCAAGTACCTTGACTTAGTACTTTGTCCTGTTACTATAAAAACTTAGCCAACTGTTATCCTGTTGAAACACTTAATTTGGGGTAATCTGGATCCGTCCCCGGGCCACTGTCGCTCGTACTTGGCTTCAAAATAAACTTACTCCCTTTGAGGTGAGGTTGTGCTTTTGCAAAGACATAACTCTGAACAAAAATCAACCACAAAAGTGAGAGCAGGATGCTGGGAAAACCACGAGAAACACAACTAAATATTAGAGAGGAATTCAGTTTCCAAAGAAAAAGGGCCATATAATCGTGTTCAACAGCCTTGTTTCACAGAAGGGGAAAGCGGGGCTAAGAATACACCGAGTAAAACGTTATTCTGTCTTCGAGAAATAAAAAAAACGTAAACAAACTCCCAAAGCACCTAAAAAGACATTCTCAGTGGCTCTAGAGCTAGGCAAGTTTCCGAGCCATCTATTAATAAAAGAAACACTGGCAATCTCTGGGGTGTTTGGGAATCTCTAGTCTAGGAATGAACCTTGGAGACTCAGAGACCTGGTAGGTTCCTGTCAACCAGCCATTCACGGAGTTTTACTACTACTTATGCAGTACGCCTAAGGTCGGGTCTGGAACTCACACCCACAACCAAGGCCAGCCCGCGATCCAGGGAGGGGAGCTCCTTTCACCAAGGCCACCGGCCTCGCCCGGCTCCAAAGGGAGAGCCCTGGCCGGCTCAGCTGGAACGGGGGCGGCGGGGGTGGGGAGGTCAGGCCCAGCGATGCCGTTCAGGCCCACGCTCCCACCCGCACAGATTTTTTGGGTCTTACTCCAGAGCACCCCCTCGTCCTCCCGAGAGGAAGTTGGGAAGGGTTCGGGAGCCACGCCCTCTGCAAAGTCCCCGCGCTGCCACCTGTGGCAGTGTCCCGGCTGAGCTCCGCGCCGCGGGCGGGAAGGGAGCAGGGCAGCTTTCCAAGAAATCCTGGCTTCCTCGGCTGCGCTCACCTCGGACAAACCGCTGCGGTCCTCGGTGTCCTGGCCGCTCAGCACCTTCTTCAGCTTGTCCATGTCGACCCCCAGACGCCAGCAGTCGCCTTAGCTCCGCGGACCGCTCTTCCGGGTGCGCGGCCCCCGCCCCTCCGCCCGCCACCAACCACGGCGAGCCCCGCCCAGGCACCTGCCC